CCCCCCCGCCCCATCTGCACTGCGCCCTCTCCCTTGGCTTTTTAACCCGCCTGCCCTGCTCGAGGGGCAGGTGGTGACCGAGGGCGGAGGTGAGGGTTGTGCAGCGAAGGCGGGGTGCGGAGCCCAGCTTCGCCTGGTCACGAGACCTCCCCGCCCCTGTCTGGACGATAAGCAGCGCACACGCGCTGATTAGCTCCCCGTGCCACAACAACGATCTGCACGGGGAAACAATATCGAAACGACGACGAAAACGCAAATCCGACTACATCTGCGTTGTGACGTTTGCAGTTTCGCACTGAGCCATGAACTGATAAAAATATGTTTGGTCAGCAACAGCACAATACTTTGGTTGTTGTTACTAAAATGGTATTCAGTTACAAATATGAGACATTCTGATGTACCAGGTGGCTGACTCACGCCGCGCACTTTCGTAGTCATACTGTACCGCATGATGCACGGGCGCGTGCGGGTTTGCCTATAGGAGATAGCCTCGCTGCCCACGGCCCTCATTGCCCCGTGTGAGTAGACAACCCGCTCGCACGCGTGAATGCGGTACCGTATAGCTACGAAGGTGCGCGGCGTGAATCAGCCACCTGGTATAGGCTACGCACCTGTGTTTCGGTAGAGCTTCTAAAAGTTCAACCAACGCGCCAAAATGTCTTTTATGGTTGTAACTCAGGTGGGCAGACTAGACTGAACACCACTGTAGCTACAACGGCCAAAGTATTTTTCGCCGCGCTTTAGAGTGTAAATACGCGGGGTGAGCCGCCTAGGCCTCGCCATGCGTGTGTCGTTATGTCGCTAATACATTCGGCTAACACGGACGTGGTCTGTGGGTCGGTCTTTCTCGATATCCTCTGCCGGCCAGGCTCGTGGCTAGGCCCAGTGGTCCTATCTCAGTACATTTTGGGCAAGTCTAGTATTCGCCAGTGCTCTGAGAAAACACTCGTACAGGCAGGTGCAGGCGGCACTCGGCGTGTGGTTGCCCTATGACTCTCTAGAAGATGTGTCGACGGTTTGCTCCGCGGGTCCGCGCCCGCTTTTTCTCTGATCGTTATCAAAGTTCGCGAGTGACGTTTTTTTGTTTGTGTGTGTGTTCTTTTTCTTCTATTCATCTTTATCGTTATTGTACAGAAAACCACCCGGTCTTTATCTCGCCGTTCGATACGACTGTGAGAAAATGGAGTAGCGGCCGCGCGCTTCTTATCGTATTCATTTGGGGGAGGGGGGGGGAGCAGGAGAGCAGGAGGAGGGGAGGGGGCGGGGGCGTGGCGTCGCGTGTCGTGCACCCAGCAGGGAGGTGTCCCGGGTCCAACGAGGTCCAGCGGGTTGCAACGGGGTCCAACAACGGGTGCACCTCGATAAGGTTCCCACACCGTTCGCTGCTCCTCGCTGCTGCCGCCGCCGGCTACCTGGTGGTGGTGGTGGTGGTGGTGACGGGGCGAACGAACGTGGGCGCCCTCTCTCTCTCTCCCACCCGTCCCGAAACAGGAGGTGCCCTTCTCCGCACAGCCCAAACATGCGTGCAGAGTGAAGGTCGAGCTGCGCTTCTCCTCTCCTCAACCGAACAGGAGGGGTGACTGTGCAGCCGACTGATTCCGAAGAGCGCTCTCCTTGTACCTTCCGTATAGCTCCGTCCTTGTCGCACTCATGGGGCAGCACCCCTTGAACGCTCTTCGGAATCAGTCTCAGCAGCCCTCGCCTGCCCCTTGGCCTGAGTCACACGACGCGGGCCGCGGCGCAGCTGCGCAGCTGCGCGGCAGGAGAGGGAATAAGACGTCCCTATCGGCGTGAGGGGGCGGGGGAGGGGGCGGCTGCTGGCGCTGGCCGCCGCGGCGGGCCAGGCCAAAGGTACGCGGTGCGCAGCGGCCCGGCGGCCTACACTGTCAGCAGCGCCATTATTTATTATCGGTCGCCTTTTTTTGCACCGGAGATAGTCCTGTCCGGAAGGGTCGTGGGTCGTGGGAAGGTTCCTACGCCCACCCACCCCCACCCCACCCCCCCGTATGAGGGATGGCTCCGGAGATAACCATCTATACTCCCACTAATCACGGAATTGTCGCCCCCGATGTTGCAGCCCGAGCTCGTGGCCAGGGAGGGCTACCCCATCGAGCTGCACAAGGTGGAGACGGACGACGGCTACATCCTGGAGGTGCACCGCATCCCGCTGCCCGGCAGCAAGAAGCCTCCCGTGTACCTGCAGCACGGCATCCTCTGCTCGTCGTCCGACTGGGTGATCGCCGGTCCGGAAAAGGGTCTAGGTGAGTACCGTGAGTACACATACGCTCACAGCTGCAGTATGTTTATCTGCCCTCTGGCTCCTGGCCCTTTGTGTTCAACCCCCACCCCCCAGCCTTCGTCCCCGCCATCCCTTTCCCGCACCCCGCTCTTTCAAATCCTTCCCATGGGGACAAAGGATCCCTGGAGGTGTGCCCGCGTGCCCCCCGCCTTACAAATCCCACCCCAAGAGTCGCTGCGTGCTGACCCGCGTCTGCTTCTCCCGCAGCGTACATCCTGCACCGCCTCGGCTACGACGTGTGGATGGGCAACTTCCGGGGCAACCGCTACTCCCGCTCGCACCGCGACCGCGACAACATGGACCCCGACCGCAACGTGCGCCAGTTCTGGGACTTCAGCTTCCACGAGAAGGGCGTGTACGACGTGCCCGCCACCATCGACTACATCCTGGAGCGCACGGACCACTCGGACCTCATGTACATCGGCCACTCCATGGGCACCACGGCCTTCTTCATCATGCTGAGCGAGCGGCCCGCCTACAACGTCAAGGTGCGCTCCATGAGCGCGCTGGCGCCCGTCTCCTACATGACCCAGGTAAGCTCGAGGAGAGGTGTTCGGACGTCACAAAGCAGTGCAGGCCAGGCCGGACGCCCGCGGGCGCCGCTGCGGTTGTTTGTATTGAATTAATCTCCCCTTCCACTCGACGCCACGCGCCGCACCCGCGCGATCTAGGCGGGGCCGCGATGGCGCCCGCTGCGCTGCGCCGCGCCCGCTCTGGGCGGCACGCGCCGCTCACAGCGGCACCGCTCTCCCGGTGGAGTGGCTGGTACCTGAATGGTAAACAAGCACTCACTGTACTGTCCCCATCGGCAGCCCAGCACGCGTGCTCGCCCAGGCCGCTCGTCGGCCGCGGCTCGACGAAATACAATGCACAACATATTCATCGAGATTGTGATGCAACAATCCTCTCGCCCCTGCGCTCGATAACGCTTTTCTCGTTGGCCGCGTAGCCTGTCCCCGTCACTGGCTTGCGCGCCACCACGACCTCTCCGACCACAAGGTCTCTCGTTTCGAAAAGTAGTCGAGTACTTTTCCCGTGGCTCCGCGTGACGATTGCTCCTACACTGTGTGTCTGACTGCCTGCTAACCAGGGGCGCCTTGGCGTTTTGACAGGTTCAGTCTCCTCTGCTCAGGGTGGCGGCGCTGCTGAGCACCCCGCTCGGCGCCGCGGCTAACCTGGTCGGCATCCGGGAGTTCCTCCCCAACAACCTGCTCTTCACCCTGGCCGGCCAGGTGCTGTGCAAGGAGAGGGCCATCACCCAGGCGCTGTGCTACAACATCATGTTCCTGTGCACGGGCTTCAACTCGCCGCAGCTAAACCTGGTGAGTGTCGCCTTTACTTCCCTCAAACGCGACGACGGGGACGCTTACATATTATGAGCCTCCGCAGTATATATTATAGTATGCGTGTGCACACGCCGAGTTGAAGGCCGCGATTGCCGATTGCCTCGACTGACGTCGGGTCGGGCCTCCTCTCGAGGAGCGGCGGCGTGGGCGGGTGGATTCACCCCGATACACTTATGGCGATAAGCTGACATGACGTTACCCTGAAGGCCGCGGGGGGCCGCACCACTGGCGCTCGCACTGGGCGCGGTCCAGCCGCTCTCGGTGCCGGCAGTGCCGCTCGGTGTAGGAAGGGTACTAGAGCGGAACTAGCTCCCTCTCTGCACCCTCTCCCTTCGGCTTACTCTAGGTTCGAGGAGTTGTGCGTGGCAACCATTTAACTTTGGTCATTTGTTAGCGATCATTGTCCATGCCCAATCGCGTGGCTGGTGGCTGGTATCGAGGCAAAAGGAAAAACAAAAATAGTAGAGAGGATAATCACAAACATTTCAAAATTGTCATTGAAATTTCAATTTATTTTAGACATCTTTTCCAATATTGGAGGCTTGTTCTACCTCATGATTGAAGATACGTCGAATTACTTGTTGCTTATCAGGGGAGTGAGGGGAGAGGGGCCTTCTCGGCCCATCCTGCGGGCGCGGGTTGAGCATTGTTAAGGGGCATTCTTAAGTTGCACTAAACTATCAGCAAACACAGACCTAATAGTTTCAAAAGAGAAGAGGAGGGGGGAAGGGCAGATGAGTTTAGTAAGTAAGCGCCGGGGCGGGGAGGAGGGAGGAGGCGCGACTCGGCGCGTTAATCTCCGCCGCGAAGCCTGCTAACGTGACGCGTCCGTTGCAGACCCTGCTGCCGACGCTGCTCGCGCACATGCCGGCCGGCGCCTCCGTCAAGACGCTCATCCACTACGGCCAGCTGATCCGCAGCGGGACGTTCCGCCGCTACGACTACGGCCTGGTGCGCAACCTGTGGCACTACGGCTCGACGCGCCCGCCCGCCTACAACCTGGACAACGTGCGCGTGCCCGTGAGCCTGCACTACAGCGACAACGACTGGGTGTCGGGCCCGCGCGACGTGCACGCCCTGTACGACTCGCTGCCCAACCGCAACGGCCGCTTCCGCGTCAAGCTGCCCCAGTTCAACCACGTGGACTTCCTGTGGGGCGTGGACGCGCCCTCGCTCGTCTACGACACGCTCACCGAGATCCTCGAGTCGCAGGCCACGCGCTCGCCGCCCACTCGCCGGTAGGGCGGCCACACGCGGACCCGCACTGCTGTGGCCAGAAATCAAGAAGCTCTCTCCCTGCTGGGCGCCCCGCGCGTCGTCCCCCCGCGGTGTGTTGTCCCGCGCCGTCGCGCCGGGCGCCTGCAGGTGCCCCGCTCGCCTCCCCGCCGAGGGGCGGCTGTTGCCGTCCGCGGGGAGGAGGGGTGTGGCTGGGGTCCGCCCCGGCACCAAAACATACGCGATGCAATGCATGCTGATGCACTTTCAGGTCTTGGTTGAGACGTTCAAGTGTCAGAGTCGTTCCTACTGCGGAGACACTTTGGGACGGATTGTTCATCGTCATTGTAGAAAAAGAAAGTGTGGAATCGCGCTCGCTCTATGGCTTGTATTTTATTTCTGAATGTGCTCATTGTATAATTGCATGTATGTAAACTGATATCGCATACGGTATGAGTTCCACTAGTCAAGTTTGGCTGTGCTTGCTGCGTCAAGACTGCCTTAGGTAGATGATGTGAGGAGAATGTATGCGCTGGTAATTTGAAGTTGATGACAAGTCTGCTTCTTTTTTCCCAGATATATGGTGGCATTTACCATCTCTTTTGTGTGCCATTTACTCTAGGTATATTATTT